ATGAGGCCGTGGAAGCCAAGGGTCATGACTAATACAAATACTCCTACCATCACCAACCCGCCATCTTATACCTCTCTTCAAAATCCGCCTCCTCTGAATGATACCCTTCCACCCCTAAAAGGATATTCTCCCCAGCTTAGCCTCCACAAACGATCGATCCAGAAATTATTTTGCTTTAAGAATTTGTCCCAACAACGTTCTCGGATTATGCAAAATTTCTCCACCCATTCTTTGCTAAATAAGCTAGGTTAAAAGACAATAAGTCCCTAAACCCTAGCCTTCCTATCTTATTTCTTCGTTTCATTTTCTGCCAAGAAATCCAGTGCATGCCGCCTTTATCCTTATGCCCCTTCCACCAAAACTTAGATATAGCAGATTCCAATTCCTTACAAAGGCCTACCAGAAGCTTAAAATAAGACATCGCATAGTTTGGCAACGCTATAGCCACCGCTTTAATGAAAACTTCTTTTCCAGCGGGGGACAGAAACTGCTTGGCCCACCCTTTGATTATCCCTTCCAAAGCCTCACGAACCCCTTCAAACACTGCCTTCTTAAATGAGCCAAAATCAGCATTTATCCCCAAATACTTACCAAAGTCTTCTCGACCCTTAATATTAGTACAAATAGCAAGTCGTTTATGTTGTTTCCGCGAACAATTAGCCCCAAAATACAAGGAGCTATTCTCCCTATTAATAGCTTGCCCGAAAGTTTCCGCATAACACTGTAACACATCCATAACCTCCTGAACCTCTTCCTTCATAGCCTTATAGAAAATTACAGCATCATATGCAAAGAATAAGTGTGATAATGAAATCTCACCAGGTGCCACTCGCACCCCATGTAGAGATCCATGTTCCTCCCTCTGTCGTAGTAATGCCGAGAAACCCTTGACACAAATTAAGAACAGAAACGGAGACATAGGATCCCATTGCCGCAACCCTCTTTATGGTTGAATAAACTCAGTGGACGCTCCATTAATTAGCACACTATAAGTTACCGTAGTGATACACTCCGCAATTCGATGACAAAACTTAGTCGGAAACCCCATGGCTTCCATCATTGCCAATAAAAAAGTCCATTCAACTCGGTCATAAGCCTTCGCCATATCCAGCTTCATTGCCACAAAAACCTCATCCCCATCACATTGTTGATTGAGAGAATGCAATATCTCATGCACCACCAAGATATTATCCTAAATATGTCTCCCAGCCACAAAAGCCGATTGATTTGCAATAATAAGATGTAGCATAACCATCTTCATACGATTGGTCAATAGCTTAGCAATCACCTTATAACCACACTTTATAAGGATATCGTCGTAACTGAGACATACTTCGAGGGCTATAAATTTTCGGAATTAGAACAAGATGAGTATGATTCAATTTCCGTAGAAGTTTCCCAGAGAACCAAAACGCCTTCACCATATCCACGATATCCTTACCAACCACATCCCAGTATTTCCTCATCAACCAAAAGATGATTGCATTTGGTTTTGATTACCTAACAGTTCGGGATTATGAGTTCAGTTTTTTAGGGTCAGGTTCGATACATTCGGATTGCATTCGTTTTTCTTTTTTTGCCGTAATTTAGATGATTGTGTTTATCTATTTTCTAATCTCTATTAATTAATGAAACCCTCTTTGTCAACCAAAAGAGGTTGAAAAGACAACTTAATCTTCTATTACACAAAAAAAATGATGGGCAATAATGTAATTTCACATGTTCAAATTTTACTGTTTTTTATTGAAGCATCGCCTACAGGTGATGTTAAAATATCTCTAATATTTAAAATTAAAAAAAATAACCAAAAACGAAAACCTCCCACTTCCCCCACGTTTTCTCTCTCTCTCTCTCTCTCTCTCTCTCTCTCTCTCTCTCTCTCTCTCTCTCTCTCCCTCTCTCCTTCGCATTTTCTAAAAAAATGTGTTCATACACACAAAGTATGTAGGCAAATACTACAAATTTAATACATGGGTACAAAATAAAACTAAAAAGAAAATACTACAAATTTTAAAAAAATGTTGCAAATTAAAAGTGGGTACAAACTAAAAATATAAATATATGATACAAAGTTTAGGCATAAAACATAAATATACCGTATGTATTTTTCTATCATTGATTAAATATACAATGTCACATGACGGTATACACATGGATACAAATACAAATAAAACTTTAAAAAATATGGGCACAAAATGAAACTAATATATGATAAAAAATTTAGCCATAAATATAAATATACTAATTGTAACATTTTTAGCACTAAAGGAATATATTTACAAATAAAAATATTTTATTATTCAAATAATTAATGATGTTATTAATACCCAAGGACTTTGATCAAAAATTAAAAATGAATAAGATTTTAATCAATGAAGTAGTAAAAAGAATGATGTGAACCTAATTTCTCCTTTATATAAATATCCCATCTGCAAGTGTATGGACACTGTACATATGTCCTTATCGTAGGAAAAGGTGCACGGTTCCTTCTTAGGGCTTCCCCAAAATGCGGTTATTGGATTAGAACTATCTATATTTCAAGTCATCCTTCAAATGTGTGTGTGTAAGCGATATGGATTATCGACCTACTCTATGTCAACAATGTCATTAAAAGAAGTGGCAACTTGTTTGGCCAAATTGGCCTTTATGTTTTGTTGAAATTTATTTGGATTGAGATCCTCTTAATGTTATCTCGAATGTCCTCATTGATATTTAATAAAATTGCTAATGCTATCATTTCGTCTGCATAAAAAGTTGCACAATTTCTTCTTATGGCTACTCCAAAATGCATTTATTTGATCGCAACCATTTGTATTTTAAGTCATCCTTCAATGTTGTTCTTAACAAGAAAAATTCTCCATTAACCTACTCTTCCATCCGCTTAGTGTTGATAATACTGTTTATCTAAAAAAATATTCTCCATATACGAATCAGTTTGATCGTCTATAATTGTGCGAGCGAACAAATTGGGTTAGATAAACTTAAATTATAAGAACTAAAAAAAACCAATTTCACAGTTTATTTTAATGGTTGACTTAAGAAACAGCGGCGGAAAGTCAACATTTTTGTTGAATTTATTATTTGCAAATAATTAAGATGGCGGTGGGACTGGGATTACTCAAAGCACCATTTGTGCTTTAATAGTGTCATCACACAACGACCGTACACCAAGAGTCAACCCCCTCCCCCTCCAAGATAACTTGTCGTCCATCCATACCATTAAACATATTTCCAAAATTTGTAAGTAGTTAGAGAGCATTTACGACAAAATCTTGTCTTCGATTCCTATCTCTGCTAATTGTTATGTGGTTGTGGGAGAGGTAGAGTCAAACAACATAAGACCTCCGCAAGTACAAGGATGATTTCTCTTGATGGTTGAGCAGCAAGCCCCGTTAACCTTACTCTCAAGTAGGGACAAGGATTGTCTGCCCTCCTTGTTCCTGTGCCCTTCCATATCCTCCTATTTGTGTGGTCACGGTTAAACCACGTCAATATTTTAGATTACTATTCATTTTTGTCTTATTATCTCTATAAAAAAACAATATAAAATGTTGATGTGGCTTAACCGTGACCACACAAAACAGAAGGGCAAGAAAACAAGGAGGGCAGACAATCCTTGTCCCTCAAGTAGTTCAAAGCATTTACTATTACAACTGAATAGTGTGCTCAATTCCCACTAATCCCATATAAATTTGCTTATGCGACTTTGTTACCTCTAATTTTTATCTTATATTCTTCCGGTAATGTATTAGACCGGATTCAGAAGGAGAATCATGGAAAACCGAGGTAGTGGTAGATTGGGGAGGCTTCAGACCCTAATGAAGAACGGTTTAAAATCGATATCTAGTGAAGGTGTTACAAGCCCACATCCTCATACCACAAAGATTTTTTAACCGAAATGATCCCTAAAATTGTTAGAACTCCTAATTCTGGTCCTTAAGATTTAAATTGATAAAAGTGATCCCTGAAATTCTCCGTCAGTGATCATTTTGGTTATTCTGTGAAAGATCTCTATTAAATTAAAGAAATCACAAATTCAAGTGAAGGGGTTGATTTGACAAAAATACCTTCAATTTAATAGAAATTCACAATCAAAATAATTAACGACGAACAATCTCAAAAACCCCTTCTATCAATTTTAAATCTTAGAGACCAGAGTAAGAAGTTATGTCAATCTCAGATACCATTTCGGCTAAAAAGCCTACCACTAATCAAGTAGAATCATATTTGAATGCGTATTTCTGAGTATATGGTATAGGAAGAAAATAACATACCATCCTATAGAAATTGAATTGAAGTTGGAGCTACACTACATATTATACACCTCCAAGGTTCCTTAAGTTTTAAGTCAATCTAGTCAGGATTAAAAAAAAAAAAAAAATCTCATCAAAAGTGACAGGCCAAGGAAAACAAAACAGACTAATCAAACCAAAAAGAAAAAGGGAACTTTAATGAAAAGTTCCTGATACTATTCATTTTAACGAAAAATCACATTTTTACTCTAAAAAATCAATAATGTTACTATTCACTTTACCCTTTATTTTGCCCTTATCGTTAAAACTCAAAGTTTTCAAGCTATTTTCAATAGTTTTCCTAAAGAACAAAGGAAGCGATTTTCACTCTCTTTCATCGTCTGCACCGTCCGTGGGTTTCTAGTCACAAGATTGAATCAATTAACGGTGGATTAAGGTGCAGAAACAAGGAGAAGAGTGCACGAGGAGTAAAACGGGAGCGTGAAAATCATTTTCCGAATTAAATAATGGAATGCCCTTCCAGGTGATGTAAGGTCAAGCCTGGGAGGCTGCGAGCCTTGATGTGAAATTAACATGACAGCAGAGAGAACATCTAAGTCAAACAACGTGGTGCAATTTAGTCAAACATGCTCACACTTGACACCAACCTTTAATTTAGAAAATATAATCCCTCTTCTTATCCCGTTAATCTCTAATTAGTAATTAATCACACAACTAAAAATAAAACATATTAAAAATGCTCAACACTTCCCGAGGACAACAAACCCGAACCCAACTCAAAGTTTGGTTCATTGACTTGACTTTTAGTATTTTATAAAGACGGAAACATTTCAACTAATTTTAATATCTTCGTCGCCGATTATTTGGAAGAATTTCGGGACATAAAAAGGAAATAGTAAGAGAGGAAGTGGTAAATATAGAAGTTTTTTTTAACTAAAATATGTGGAAAAAGTAGAAAAGTTTGAGTTATCTTACATAAAAAGCACCTTTTAGCTTTCATACTCTATGACGCTTTCTTCCAGCGGAGACTCCAACCTTGTAAGAACTTCAGGAACTCCAGCAGCATCTCGTATTATCTGTACCAACCCAGTTGAACAACCCAAAACGTGATAAGGTACAACGTGCTACATAGCAAGTTCGATAGCAACTTCAATATATCGAACATTAAAACGATCTTATATGGTGATGACGAGTGAAAATGTTTCTAATGCACATACATTACTCACAGACCAAATACTTTACCACCTACAATTATAAGTAACGAACAGCGTATCACATATAGCCCCTAACGTATGCATCACTCCTCTCACTATCAACTGTATGAGCAAAGCTGTTGGATGAGGTAAACCCTTCAAAATTCAAATGTCCAAGTTTGACTCTACAAAACTTGTGTGCGGGGTTTGTGAAAATAGTGTTCAATCGTTCGTCAGTTGAAATAGACTTTATTAACGGTCAGAAAATCTTACATGCTAAGTAAGATTTATTTATAGCAATATCCAGAGATAGTTCATATAATAAAACAGCACAGACTAATGAAATTAGTCAAGGTCGCTATCTAGTATCTAGTGAAAACAGAGGATTCTGAATACAAAGAAAAAAACACAGCATACATGATGCATTTATAAGTTTCACCCTCTTTACGAATAACAACAACAACAACAACAAAGCCTTTTCCCACTAAGTGGGGTCGGCTATATGAATCCTAGAACGCCATTGCACACCCTCTTTACGAATGTATTTTAAAATTTAGAAAACTTTCTACCACACACATGAAAATGCACCAGATTAAATATTTTTGGAAAAACTTGAGGACTCAATTCTTTCCCATGGCAAGGAAAGGAAAGTTTATTCCAGTTGCCACCAAGACAAGGGAAATAACTTTATCTTCCTCTACAAATTAACTTCCTCATGCAGATGTTTTACCATTAATTTAGCTATATTTTAAAACTATTTAAAGCATAAATGGACCACCCGTTTTAAGTTTCACCAAGTTTTGATATGTCAAACTAAGCAGATTAATTATTTTTTTGTAGCCCTGCAATTCTCTTAATCATAGTGAGATAAGGGTCATATTTTTACGAAGTGAAACACATGTGAAACAAATTGAAACTGAACCACAAGATTAATACGCAGTATAATGCTTACAAGTATCTCCGAATCAAGATAGGAGATCATGAAGAGTCTCTCAAAAGCTCCAGCTGCATGCACAAAGTAAATGATCAGCATGGATTCATAATAAGAACTGGGTGAACATAGAGAGAAATCAGTATGGGATGAGGGTAGAAAGTTATGCTTTAATTTATCATCTTGGATGGAGCATTAGCAGGGAGCAGCACATACTAACACAAATAACACATGAGCACATAAACACTTAATATGGAACTAGGTTAGCATATAGGCAAAAAATGAGATAAGGCAAAACTGGGTGAGGGTTATCGGATTGAGCATTAGCAAGGTGCGACATATGCGACTACAAAATTGAATGAGGGTTATTGGATCCAATTTTTTTGTTTTTGAAACTAAGAAGTACTAAGCAATTTAGCTACATTCATCATTTTAAAACTAAAAATTGGATCCAAGAAGGATACCAAACATCCCCTTAATATTCTGGATTCTAGGCTGCAAACAGATCAAGCATATTCAGCAGTTGATGCCACAATGTTTGAATCTCAGTCAAAAGATTTATTCTCTGGTTATGGCCATGCTTTAGAGCACCTTAGTATTTAGGACAACCAAGAAAAAAATTTTAACTGACAGAGAGTAACATGAGAAGGGCGTCAGGTAGTCGACAGCCGGCACTCCATGGTTACGTCGAATCCTTATGAAAATGAATCTAGAACGAAATCGTGCTAAAGCTAGGACGTCACCCGTAAGTGGCGCGCTATGTGGCCCGAGCACAGTGATAAATGAGCAAGGGTCGCTGTATCTCCATCGGCACCCGGATGCAGTGTTAAATGAGCAAAGGGGCCATAGAAACTTCTTTTCGAACGACTCTACTCAAAGTTGTTTGGGAGCATATGCTCCTATCAACTTTACACGGGACACACAAAATAAGTACTTTGATCCTATTAGACGGGGGAGGGTGAAGAAGCTAGGACAGAAGGGTAGAGTTCAAGAGAGCAGAATGCGTTTAGGAACGTGAAATATAGGAACCTTAACGGGAAAATCTATGGAAGTAGTGGAAGTTATGGTGAGGAGAAGGATAAATATTATGTGCCTACAAGAAACTAAGTGGGTTGGTCGTAAGGCAAAGGATCTAGAAAACTCAGGGTTTAAACTTTGGTATTCGGGGCACAAATAGAACGAGAAACGGTGTTGGCATTATCGTGGACAAGACCTTGACACAAGATGTTGTAGATGTCAAGAGGGTAGGAGATAGAATCATGGCAATCAAGATTGTAATAGGACAAGAACTTATCAATGTGATTAGTGCGTACGCACCTCAAGTAGGGTTGGATACGAGTTCGAATGAGAAATTTTGGGAAGACCTTGGAGACTTGGTGCAAGGAATTGCTCAGACGGAGAAGTTATTTATAGGAGGAGATTTAAATGGACACGTGGGCAGGGAGACAGGCAACTATGGAGGTTTTCATGGTGGCCATGGTTTTGGGGAGAGAAACGAGGATGGGGAAGCTATCTTGGATTTTGCAATGGCATATGATCTTTTCTTAGCCAACACCTTCTTTAAGAAGAGAGAAGAACATGTGATCACCTACAAGAGTGGGTCGTCAAAAACACAAATAGATTTTCTTCTAATGAGGAAAGGGGATCGTATAACTTGTAAGGATTGCAAAGTTATACCGGGAGAGAGCTTGGCTAATCAACATCGCTTGTTGGTGATGGATGTACATATCAAAAGAGTGAGAAAAAAGAACAAGACTTGGAAGTGCCCAAGGACTAGATGGTGGAATCTAAAAGAAGAAAAACAAGCCATTTTCAAAGAGAAAGTAATCACCCAGTGTGTGTGGAATAGAGAGGAGGAAGCTAGCCAAAGGTGGGATTCCATGGTTAGTTGTATCCGAAAAGTAGCAAAAGAGGTATTAGGAGAGTCCAAGGGCTTTGCTCCACACCAAAAGGAATCTTGGTGGTGGAATGAGGAGGTATAAACAAAGGTGAAGGCTAAGAAGGAATGTTGTAAAGCCTTATACAAGGATAGGACCGATGAAAATGGTGAAAGGTATAGAAAAGCGAAGCAAGAGGCGAAGAAAGCTGTGAGAGAAGCTAAGTTAGCGGCTTATGATGATATGTATAAGCGACTAGATACCAAAGAAGGAGAGTTTGATATCTATAAACTAGCTAGAGCAAGGGAAAAGAAGACAAGGGACCTAAACCAAGTGAGGTGCATCAAGGATGAGGATGGAAAGGTTCTTGCTACAGAGAACGCGGTCAAAGACAGATGGAGAGGTTATTTTCATAATCTTTTCAATGAAGGACATGAAAGGAGTGCTTCTTTAGGGGAGTTGAGTAACTCAGAAGAGTATAGAAACTACTCATTTTATCGTCGAATCCGGAAGGAAGAAGTGGTTGTAGCTTTAAAGAAGATGAAGCATAGAAAAGCAGTAGGCCCAGACGATAAACCGATCGAAGTGTGGAAAGTTTTGGGAGAGACAGGTATAACATGGCTAACTGACCTTTTCAATAGGATTTTGAAAACGAAGAAGATGCCAAATGAGTGGCGAACGAGCACTTTGGTGCCTATCTACAAGAATAAGGGCGACGTACAAAATTGCATGAACTATAGGGGTATTAAGCTAATGAGTCATACAATGAAGCTCTGGGAGAGAGTCATTGAGCATAGATTGAGGCAAGAGACACGGGTTTCGGACAACCAATTCGGTTTCATGCCAGGGCGCTCAACCATAGAGGCAATCTATTTCTTACGAAGATTGATGGAAAGATATAGAGATGGGAAAAAGGATTTATACATGGTCTTTATAGATTTGGAAAAAGTGTATGATAGGGTCCCAAGAGACATTCTTTGGAGGATTTTAGAGAAGAAAGGAGTACGAGTAGCATATATCCAAGCTATAAAGGATATGTATGAAGGAGCAAAGACTGCCGTAAGAACTCATGAAGGACAAACCGAAAACTTTCCCATAACTGTAGGATTACACCAAGGCTCATCCTTAAGTCCTTACCTTTTTGCGTTGGTAATGGATGAGTTAACAAGACATATTCAAGATGATATTCCTTGGTGTATGCTTTTCGCAGACGATATAGTGTTGATAGATGAAACTCATGAAGGGGTAAATGCAAAGCTTAACCTTTGGAGAGAAGTGTTGGAATCTAAAGGTCTTCGCCTAAGCCGATCAAAGACAGAATATATGGAGTGCAAGTTCAGTGCAAATGGAGGCCAAAACGAGTTAGGGGTGAGGATCGGAGATCAAGAAATACCAAAGAGCGACCGTTTTCGTTACCTAGGATCTATCTTGCAAAAGAACGGAAGAATTAGATGGAGATCTCAACCATAGAATACAAGCTGTATGGATGAAGTGGAAGAGTGCATTCGGCGTGTTGTGTGACCGCCGTCTGCCACTGAAGCTCAAGGGAAAATTTTATAGGACGGCAATAAGGCCGGCGATGCTGTATGGCACAGAATGTTGGGCAGTGAAGCATCAACACGTACACAAAATGGGTGTAGCGGAGATGAGGATGCTTCGTTGGATGTGTGTGGGCACACGAGAAAGGATAAGATTAGGAATGAGGATATCCGGGGTAAAGTAGGAGTAGCCGAAATTGAAGGAAAGATGAGAGAAAATCGGTTACGGTGGTTTGGACATGTGCAAAGAAGGCCTACTGACGCTCCGATTAGAAGATGCGACTATGGGACAGAGGTTCAGGGCCGAAGGGGTAGAGGAAGACCTAGGAAAACTTTGGAAGAGACTCTAAGAAAAGACTTAGAGTACTTGGATCTAACAGAGGACATGACACAGGACCGAGCACAATGGCGTTCTAAGATTCATATAGCCGATCCCACTCAGTGACTTGGATTTTCCAAGTTTCCAACCGAGAAGTTTTCCTCACTCGGGAAATTAAGGGAACACTACCTCAACCTACATGCTCCACTCACAAAGCTTCAACATACAAGCTTCAACAAAAGAAAAATTCAAAGAACTTAGCGAAGAAGGCTTTGGTGTATTTAACACAATACGTTGAAATGAAGCAAAGCTTATTTATTGATATCCCCGATAAGTTACAAATATGTACATATACATGAGTCAAAAATAAACAAACAAGAGGGAGCCTTCACAAAGGTTGCTTAGGAGAAGTCTCAGCAGTCGGTAGAGCCCCAGAAAGAGAAGGCACCGGAGGGGGATCATTCGGAGCCTCAGTACTGGACAGAACCCTAGAAGGAGGAGGCATCAGAGGTTGATCATTTGGAGCTTCATTACGCGGTACAGCCCCAGAAGACGAAGGCAATAAATGCCTTTGGAACAAACCCACAAACCTCTGATGATCAAGTAAAACCTGACCATCAGATTCCTTCATCTGGTCAAGCTTCCTCTTCATGTTTGTAGCATAGTCATGTGCGAGCCGGTGCAACTGTTTATTCTCATGCTTGAGCCCTCTAATCTCCTGTTTGAGACTCATCACTTCAGCCGCCAATGATTCAACTTGGCGGGTTCGAGCAAATAGGCGTTGGGCCATATTAGACACAGAACCTGCACACTGAACACTGAGAGCCAGAGAATCCTTAACAGCCAACTCATCAGACCGTTTGGAAAGTAGTCTGTTATCTTTGGGAGTGAGAAGGTTCCTGGCCACCACCGCAGCGGTCATCATATCATTCTTCATCACGGAATCCCCAACGGTAAGAGGACCAGTAGGGAAGACGAAGGATGGGCGCCATATGTTGTCTGGAGAAGGCGTGGCTGCCTCTTCAACAAGGTTCAAGTCAAAACGACGGTCGGAGGGGCCAGACATTTTCAAAGGTGTTGAAGAGAGAAGAGGTCGGACAAATCAAGATCTTAGAAGTGCAAGAATGGAGCTTCTACTGGTGGAGATTCAAGTGTGCTTTGGAACTTAATGCCAACCTCTATAAAAATCTGCACTCGACGGAGCTTCAGAAATCGAAGAGGCGCCTGCTCAGAAATCGAAGAGGCGTTTGCTTTCTCAAAAGCTGGGTTGCTCAGAGACCACGAGGGTTGATCTCAGAAATCGAAGAGGCGTTTGCTTTCTCAAAAGCTGGGCTGCTCAAAGACCACGAAGGCCGATCTCAAAAATCGAAGAGGCGCTTGCTTTTTCAAAAGCTGAGCTACTCAGAGACCACGAGGGCCGATATCAGAAATCGAAGAGGCACCTACTTTTTCAGCCTTGTCAGCACCTGTCACACGCACACTCAGCTTTGTGGGAATTACGGGCATTCTGTCGAAGATTTCTGGTGAAGTAGAAAGCATATGAATCTTACTGTTCAATCACCCATTTTCCACACGCAACATTAGTTCATGGGTACCACAGATAACTTTGCCAAAGTTCTCTGACAAAGTTGAGACACGTGAAACTTGCAGCTCCCACTACATCGCTCTGACCAAGAAGGGTAAAAGAATAACAAAGAAACAACACTAACAAAGTTTAGACACATAAATTTTGAAGGTCTAGCTACCATATTATTACCCACAAGGGTAAAGGAACAGTACAACTGCTGAATAATTGGAAAGTCCCTGTGTGTCAACCTCTGTGCTCTGTGGCAAGGTAGACTAGCAAACATGCCCAATTTTACCCACATTCGAGAAAACACTCCCAACAAGATTGCTTGCTCCAAAATCGAAGAGGCACCGCCCTCCGAATCTCGAGAGCCAGACTCCCAACATGATTACTTTCTCAAAAATCGAAGAGACACCGCTCTCCGAATCTCGAAAGCCAGACCCCCAGCAGGATTGCTTTCTCAAAAATCAAAGAGGCATCATTCTCCGAATCTCGAGAGCCAGATCCCCGACAAGATTGCTTGTTCGAAAACCGAAGAGGCACCACTTTCTCAACTTCGAGAGCCAGACCTCCTTGGATAAAGCTTGTCTGTAATCTTCACACGCAAAATCAGCTTTCCAGACACCACAGACCACTTTTTCAAAGTGCTCTGACAGAGTTAAAACATGTGAAGCTGGCAGCTCCCACTACCGTGCTATGACCAAGCAGGGTAAATGAATAGCATTACTACTTGTTGTTAGGGAGACTCCTATATATGTCGACCTCCATCCCCAACGGACAGGCAGACCTGCAAAAATGCTCAACCCTTCCTCATATCTGAGAGTGCACTCCCAACGAAGTCTTTCGAAATATTCAGCTTTCTTTCCCCTCGATAATACCTCTGCAAACAAGCTATACTAGAGCAATAATATCTCATATCATCAGGGTTAAAAGCAAGAGTATCCCATATCATGCTTTTTCCCTGTCTTCTCATTTGGCCTTGTTCTTACCTACAAGACAAGGAGAAAGAGAGCAATCAGTCAGCACTTGGAATCAAGCTTCCAGTCAGGAACTGACTGCCTGGAACCCCTTACCTGATTACTTACCTAGCATTGCTCTCGAGTACTCATCTTCAACATCTTATGCTTCCAGGGAAGATACCGCATCTGCCTGAGGAACAGATAGGGCAAGTGAGAAGGATACAAGGAAGCATGTGGAGACAAGCGTGACAGCACACGTGCCGATACATCCACTACTTTGTCAAAAGCAAAAGTATCCCATATCAGCAGGGTCGAACGTACTCTAGATTTGATGGACTTGTTTTGACCCTCAAATTCTTCAGTCGGCCTTATACTCTGGAGGAAACCAAAAAACCCTCCAGCCCAGTTCAAGAATAAGCCTGTGGAAAGTTACTTCTTCAAAAGCAAAAGTATCTCATATCATCTCTTCTCATTTTTCTTCTCTTTATCCTTCATGCTGCCTGCAAGATAGGGAGAATGAGAACAATCAGCCGGAACTTGAAATCAAACTTCTGATCTGGGACTGATTGCTTGGAGCTCTGATTGCTTACCTTGTCTGTCGTCTCTTTCAGCAGATCTCCTAGCTCGGCGACTTGGGGGACTCCTACTACATGGTTTGTATCGCGCTTGACCAAGCATGAAACTACAAGTAAGCTTCAAGTGAAATTGATACATTACCTTGTGCATCTCCACCAGTTAAAGATACCACCCCTGGATGGAGGAAGAGTACTTCCAGAGAAGATGCCACATCTACCTATGAGACAGATAAGGCAAGTGAAGACGATACCACACTTCGGTACTTAGAAGTTTCGTGATTACGATATCATTCTCCCACAATATTTCCTAATGTCATTTGTACTAAATCATTCACTTGTACTCACTAAAGGAGAGCTTGAACCTATGTACTTGTGTAAACCCTTCGCAATTAATGAGAACTCCTATATTCTGTAGACGTAGCCAATCTGGTGAACCACGTACATCTTGTGTTTGCTTTCATGTCTCTATCCATTTATATACTTATCCACACTAATGACCGGAGCAATCTAGCCAAGATCACAAAAAGCGACCATTTTCGCTACCTAGGATCTATCTTGCAAAAGAACGGAGAATTAGATGGAGATCTCAACCATAGAATACAAGCTGGATGGATGAAGTGGAAGAGTGCATCCGGCGTGTTGTGGGATCGTCGTAGGCCACTGAAGCTCAAGGGAAAATTTTATAGGACGGCAATAAAGCCAGCGATGCTGTATGGCACAGAATGTTGGGCGGTGAAGCATCAACACGTACACAAAATTGGTGTAGCAGAGATGAGGATGCTTCGTGGGATGTGTGGGCACACGAGAAAATATAAGATTGGGAATGAGGATATCCGAGGTAAAGTAGGAGTAGCCAAAATTGAAGGAAAGATGAGAGAAAATCGGTTACGGTGGTTTGGACATGTGCAAAGAATGCCTACTGACGCTCCGGTTCGAATATGTGACTACGGGACAGAGGTTCAAGGCCGAAGGGGTAGAGGAAGACCTAGAAAAACTTTGGAAGAGACCCTAAGAAAAGACTTAGAGTACTTGGATCTAACGGAGGACATGACACAAAACCAAGCGCAATGGCGTTCTAGGATTCATATAGCCGACCCCACTTAATGGGAAAAGGCTTTGTTGTTGTTGTTGTAGAGAGTAACATGAGACTTACATTTACAGATAGAAAAATCTCCTTCAAGATATCGTACCACTACCCATAGTTACCATCAATGACTGTCCCCCTTCAGACTTAGGTATTTATCAATTTGAGAGGGAAGAAAAAGCAGCTCATCTTTCAAGGAAAGCAAATGTTTTATAGCTCTCTTAACTCCAACTAAATTCAATTAACAGGGAAATAAAGGGAAAACTTCTACAGTAAAACGAAAGATTAACTACGGTCTAGTGGTATTCCCCCTCACTTATAAGTGAGAGGTCTTAGGTTCGATTCTCGCTAAAGGCAAGTTTGAATCACATTACTGATAGCCCAGTGTGAGGCTTAGCCCACTCCCCCACCCCTAGTGTAGATAATATCGTTTGTTCAAAAGAAAAAAAAAACTTTTTGTACATTTATAAAAAAATTAAATAAATTAAACGACTTAAAGAACAGCAACAACATTTTCAGAAATTTTAAGGTAGGCCTATGACGTTTGACCAAGTGCCAACAGTACCTCACAGAAGACAATTGGCACCCTTGGATTTACAGAGAGGAGACGTAACGGCTGATTAACATGCAGGGAGGGTTAGGATTCATAGGATAAAAGAACTCCCCAGCATCTTAGCATCTTTATCCCAAATAGCCAGTTTCCAACGTTCATATACTGTCTTAGTAAATACTAAATAGTACCTGACCACAAAAGAGCACATATTCTTCTGACTATGGCATTTAAAGGATGATTGAAGTGATTCAAATTTCATAGACTGCAAAGAAATTCGCAAGCATCTTCTATCCCAATAGTTGGATATCCATAATTTCATATACAAGTACTGTTTCATTGTGTATTACAAGCCCAAAACATGGCAGATATTATTCTGACAACACGTTTAAAGGAGTTTACTGGAGCTTGAGACTCAACTATGCAATTAAGATAAAGAAATAACTGGTTTAGAAAAGCATCACACTTACTTAAAGGAACTTTCAGCCCGCTGGAAAAGGCACCCCTAATAGGCAGAGGAAGTTGTTGCACTATGTTTATGGCCTGACCAAGTGCACCTTTTAGCTGGTCTGGTATTGCCTCTTCAATTACTTTTGGTGTCTCAAGAACCCCCTCAACATATTCCTCTTTCATTCGAACTGGTCCCTCCACAGTTAACTTCGTTGACAAAGTAAACTCGCCTTCTATCTGCACAGCACCAGCGCGAATTTCATAGTGAATGCTCAGAAAAAAAAAATTATATCAGAATGCAAACAGAACAGACAAATAGAAGAAATGATAGGTAACATCATGTCTAAATCAAAAGTATGGCTTGACTATTTCTTATCTTAGAAAATACTAGCAGACTAAAACTTTTACTTGTTTCTCTCTCCCTTTCTCACTTTCATTTGTATCTAACAACCATATTACATGAATTTAATTAGATGGGCTATTTGCTACTTTTCCTAAGTTTCCAGGAAAAAGGATGAAAACAAGTTGCAAAATTTGGTTTACACAGATCTACTGGCTGCTCTTGTGATGTGGTACCTCAATAAATTACACATGCAAGCCAAGGTTCTGGTGCAAACACAACCAACTTGCCCTAACCAAACACTGTTGTTATAGCATAAACCAACTTGCCCTAATCAAACGCTGTTGTTATAGCATAAACATGATTCATGTCAGTTCAATGTCCTTAAAATTGTGCTAGAGCTGGGATTTCACATGGATATGTGACAAGTGCGGTATTTACCCTGAGTGCTTCATCATATAATTGGACATATACAATGGACTGAGGACTTTTAAAGTAAAAATATATACCGAGTTCAACACTTTCAATTTTGCCATAATCTTTGCATTCTCATCCTTGATGACCACCTCCATTTTTGTCAAACTAGCCAAAGTTGAAGGAAACCTCCTGCAGCAATAGAAACATTGCTTAAATGCAACAATACAGTAAGCTACCTTTTAATTCAAACTTCAAATTAATTACACATAAAAACCCAGAAAATATTCTAGACCAATCAAACAATGAAATAGATAAACATGTGCAGCACTTACTCAAACAAAAATCTGGCAGCAAATAGACCTGGGCTTCCAGATCCAAACCACTCGAAATTCCATCGACCTTCCAAAAAAGGCGACCTGGGTAGCTGAACAAACCATTGAACATCTCATCCAAACCAAAAAGAAAAGGTGTTGTCATGCATTGTTCAGATATGCGCTTACGTTGTAGGACGTTGTGTTGGATTGACTCGTTCCAAAGCAGTTATCCTCTCATTCACATCAATCCGCTCCATGTCTGTTGTCTTCCCTGTGACTAAAGCCTCAAAACCCCCAGCATCCCTAAACTGAAACAAAAGGTTTTCACATTAACGTTTTGACATAGAAATTCTACAACAAGACCTAAACTATTAATACCTTAACACAAAAATATATATACAATTTCCAGATAAATTGAATGGAGCTATATTGCCATGGTCCCACTAGGGTGTTGTTGACCCCAACAACATCATGTTTCTACCACTAGTTATCACTCTTGACCCCAAAGAAACTCAAGAAATAGAAAATACCATATTCGATTGATATCTTCTCGCTAAGTAAGGCTTGCACCAGATACTGTAGTGCACTAGGACCAAGATATATGCATATACATATGAATCACATGTGTTTGATAGAGTAAAAATAAGTGGGTACTTTTGCTTAGGTCTTCCACGATATTAACCTGAAATGTTTGGTTCCTAAAAATTGAAATCAACATCACACAATGAAGTAGAAAATTTGATCGAAAACGAGAGTTTAATTGTTACTATATGGGTCTCATGAGTTTCGTTCCTATAAAATAGTGGGACACATATATGAAACTCAGTAATCCCGATCATTTTGAACCTGCATCTGAGAATCAAACTCACATAAGCCATTGTGAAAGGTTTTAGTACAAATATGAACAATCGCACATGAATATATAGCTAGCCAATAATCAATATATGAAATAGTTTTATCATTCCCCCATTGGGATAAAACTGCTCCGCCGCTGCATGGTCTTAATACTTAAGCACTTTTGTAATTTGAAAATAGCAACCAAACAGTGCCTTACAATTGCCATGACTCTCATTTCAACTTCCTAAACAACCAATAGTGCAAAAAGCTAACTATTTCTCTTCTAATTAACAGAATTCTATGTAAAATTGCACAGGCTCACAGCGAGAAGCAGCGATTCTTTGGCGGAAAGCCTCTCCATTTCCTTAGCATACGCAGCAGAAGCGCCGGGCACGGCCTGCTGAACCATCGCTCGGCACACGGACCGCCGGAGCCGAATCATCCCCACTCCGGAGCATTTCCGGCGACGCTGCGGCGACCTGCCAACGGGGACCAGCGAAGTGGCAGCGGTCGAAGAGAAGGACGACGACGGCGGTGAAGACGGAGACGAACAGCGCGAGGCAATCGAAGAAACGGCAGAGAGCTGGCTCTGCACGGACGCCATTGGAGAGAGGGAAACCCTAGGGAGAGAGCTGAGAGAGGAGAAGCGGAGTGGTGTTGAATAGTCAGATACTACAGCGAGAGGAGGGGAGACAGGTGCGTGGTTGAAGGGTGAGAGGGAAGCTCGTGTGCGTCCGAGAGAGGGGTACTTTCGTCATTGGATAAATTCGAGGTTGACAAAAAAGTGGAATATGGAGATGCGGGGTATCGAACCCCGTACCTCTCGCATGCAAAGCGAGCGCTCTACCATGTGAGCTACATCCCCATCTTCACTTTTCAACATGATATTTGCACATTTATCGAGAATAAACAGTGTTTAGTTTGCCCTACTTAGCTTTGGCAGGTGAAATTCTCTGCTGCTCTTTCTTATTTTCCCGCCATGGAAGCCATGGAAATCGATTCGGAGAAGAACCTCCACAGAAAGCATTCCGCCTACACCTTGCTGGTCTATACTCTCTCTCTCTCTCTCTGTCAAGAAATTTTACTTCTTACATCAACTTGTTTGTTTGCCGAGAAAGTATAAATTTTTTCTTGCTCAATCCGAAATTTCAGTTCTTTTTCTAGGGTTTCTCAGCAACCGTTCCCAAATTACGAGCCACAACTGACATTTTCAGAGCAACTATCATGAAATTACTTCTTAATTTCAAATTTTGGTTATTGGGTTTTTATTTTCTTTGAGATTATGTGTTAATTAACTTAATTGTAGGACGAGAGGTTTGAGATTCAGAAGGAAATGTACAGGGGTCAACAGTACAGCCAAATATACTTCGTCCGTCTACATATGATGAGGACGCTCCTCTATTCCCTTGTCCCTAACTGGAAACCCCATTTGCCAGGTTCTCAATTTTTTGTATTTATTCTAAATTTTAGATTTCGGTTTTCTTGTTAAATGGCGTTCTCGACGGAGTTCATGGCACGTTGCCTGTAAATTTGTCTTTGAATTGGCCACCTGTGGAAGATAATCGGCTTTGTATAAATTAATTTAAAGTACTTGGATCTAACGAAGGGGTAGAGGAAGACCTAGGAAAACTTTGGAAGAGACTCTAAGAAAAGACTTAGAGTACTTGGATCTAACGAAGGACATGACACAGAACCGAGCACAATGGCGTTCTAAGATTCATGTAGCCGATCCCACTCAGTGACTTGGATTTTCCAAGTCTCCAACCGAGAAGTTTTCCTCACTTAGGAAATTAAGGGAACACTACCTCAACCTACATGCTCCACTCACAAAGCTCCAACAAAAGAAAATTCAAAGAACTTAGCGAAGAAGGCTTTGGTGTATTTAACACAATACGTTGAAATGAAGGAAAACTTATTTATTATATCCCCGATAAGCTACAAATATGTACATATACATGAGTCAAAATAAACAAACAAGAGAGAGCCTTCACAAAGGTTGCTTAGGAGAAGTCGCAGCAGTCGGTAGAGCCCTAGAAAGAGAAGGCACCGGATGGGGATCATTCGGAGCCTCAGTACTGGACAGAACCCTAGAAGGAGGAGGCATCAGAGGTTGATCATTTGGAGCTTCATTACGCGGTACAGCCCCAGAAGACGAAGGCAATAAATGCCTTTGGAACAAACCCACAAATCTCTGATGATCAAGTAAAACCTGACCATCAGATTCCTTCATCTGGTCCAGCTTCCTCTTCATGTTTGTAGCATAGTCATGTGCGAGACGGTGCAACTGTTTATTCTCATGCTTGAGCCCTCTAATCTCCTGTTTGAGACTCATCACTTCAGCCGCCAATGATTCAACTTGGCGGGTTCGAGCAAATAGGCGTTGGGCCATATTAGACACAGAACCTGCACACTGAACACTGAGAGCCAGAGAATCCTTAACAGCTAACTCATCAGATCGTTTGGAAAGTAGTCTGTTATCTTTGGGAGTGAGAAGGTTCCTGGCCACCACCGCAGCGGTCATATCATTCTTCATAACGGAATCCCCAACGGTAAGAGGACCAGTAGGGGAGACGAAGGATGGGCGCCATATGTTGTCTGGAGAAGGCGGGGCTGCCTCTTCAACAAGGTTCAAGTCAAAACGACGGTCGGAGGGGCCAGACATTTTCAAAGGTGTTGAAGAGAGAAGAGGTCGAACAAATCAAGATCTTAGAAGTGTAAGAATGGAGCTTCTACTGGTGGAGATTCAAGTGTGCTTTGGAACTTAATGCCAGCCCCTATAAAAATCTGCACTCGACGGAGCTTCAGAAATCGAAGAGGCGTTTGCTTTCTCAAAAGCTGGGCTGCTCAGAGACCACGAGGGTCGATCTCAGAAATCGAAGAGGCATCTGCTTTCTCAAAAGTTGGGCTGCTCAAAGACCACGAAGGCCGATCTCAGAAATCGAAGAGGCGCTTGCTTTCTCAAAAGTTGGGCTGCTCAGAGACCACGAGGGCCGATCTCAGAAATCGAAGAGGCACCTACTTTTCCAGCCTTGGCAGCACCTGTCACACGCACACTCAGCTTTGCGGAAATTATGGGCATTCTGTCGAAGACTTCTGGTGAAGTAGAAAGCACATGAGTCTTACTGTTCAATCACCCACTTCCCACACGCAATAGTAGTTCATGTGTATCACAGATAACTTTGCCAAAGTTCTCTGCCAAAGTTGAGCACGTGAAGCTTGCAGCTTCCACTACATCGCTCTGACCAAGACGGGTAAAAGAATAGCAAAGAAACAGCACTAACAAAGTTTAGACACATAAATTTTGAAGGTCTAGCTACCCCATATTATTACCCACAAGGGTAAAGGAACAGTATCACTGCTGGATAATTGGAAAGTCTTTGTGTGTCAACCTCTGTGCTTCGTGGCAAGGTAGACTAGCAAACATGCCCAACCTTTACTCACATTCGAGAAAACACTCCCAACAAGATTGCTTGCTCCAAAATCGAAGAGGCACCGTCCTCCGAATCTCGAGAGCCAGACTCCCAACATGACTACTTTCTCAAAAATCGAAGAGAGGGTAAAGAAACAGTACCATTGCTGGATAATTGGAAAGTCCCTGTGTGTCAACCTCTGTGCTTCGTGGCAAGGTAGACTAGCAAACATGCCCAACCTTTACTCACATTCGAGAAAACACTCCCAACAAGATTGCTTGCTCCAAAATCGAAGAGGCACCGCCCTCCGAATCTCGAGAGCCAGACTCCCAACATGATTACTTTCTCAAAAATCGAAGAGACATCGTTCTCCGAATCTCGAGAGCCAGATCCCTGATAGGATTGCTTGTTTGAAAACCGAAGAGGCAACACTTTCCCAACTACAAGAGCCGGATCTCCTTGGATAAAGCTGTCTGTAATCTTCACACGCAACATCAGCTTTCCACATACCACAGACCACTTTTTCAAAGTGCTCTGACAGGGTAAAGGAATAGCATTACTACTTGTTGTTAAGGAGACTCCTATATATGTCAACCTCCATCCCCAACGGACAGACAGACCTGCAAAAATGCTCAACCCTTCCTCATATATGAGAGGGCACTCTCAACGAAGCCTTTCGAAATATTCAGCTTTCTTTCCCCCCGATAATACCTCTGCAAACAAGTTATACTAGAGCAAGAATATCTCATATCATCAGGGTTAAAAGCAAGAGTATCCCATATCATGCTTTTTCCCTGTCTTTTCCTTTGGCCTTGTTCTTACCTGCAAGACAAGGAGAAAGAGAGCAATCAGTCAGCACTTGGAATCAAGCTTCCAGCCAGGAACTGACTGCCTGGAACTTACTTACCTGGCATTGCTCTCGAGTACTCATCTTCAACATCTTATGCTTCCAGGGAAGATACCGCATCTGCCTGAGGAACAGATAGGGCAAGTGAGAAGGATACAAGGAAGCATGTGGAGACAAGCGTAACAGCACACGTGCCGATACATCCATTACTCTGTCAAAGCAAAAGTATCCCATATCAGTAGGGTCGAACGTACTCTAGATTTGATGGACTTGTTTTGACCCTCAAATTCTTCAGTCGGCCTTATACTCTGGAGGAAACCAGAAAACCCTCCAGCTCAGTTCAAGAATAAGTCTGTGGAAAGTTACTTCTTCAAAAGCAAAAGTATCCCATATCATCTCTTCTCATTTTTCTTCTCTTTATCCTTCATGCTGCCTGCAAGATAGGGAGAATGTGAACAATCAGCCGGAGCTCTGATTGCTTACCTTGTCTGTCACCTCTTTCAGCAAATCCCCTAGCTCGGTAACTTGAGGGACTCCTACTACATGGTTTGTATCGCGCTTGACCAAGCCTGAAACTACAAGTAAGCTTCAAGTGAAATTGATACATTACCTTGTGCATCTCCACCAGTTAAAGATACCACCCCTGGATGGAGGAAGAGTACTTCCAGAGAAGATGCCACATCTACCTATGAGACAGATAAGGCAAGTCAAGACGATACCACATTCCGATACTTAGAAGTTTCGTGATTACGAGATCATTCTCCCACAATATTTCCTAATGTCATTTGTACTAAATCATTCACCTGTACTCACTAAAGGAAAGCTTGAACCTATGTACTTGTGTAAACCCTTCACAATTAATGAGAACTCCTCTATTCCGTGGACGTAGCCAATCTGGGTGAACCACGTACATCTTGTGTTTGCTTTCCTATCTATATCCATTTATATACTTATCCACACTAATGATCGAAGCAATCTAGCGAAGATCACAAAAAGCGACCGTTTTCGCTACCTAGGATATATCGTGCAAGAGAACGGAGAATTAGAGAGAGATCTCAACCATAGAATAGAAGTTGGATAGATGAAGTGTAAGAGTGCATCCGGCGGGTTGTGTGACCGTCGTAGGCCACTGAAGCTCAAGGGAAAATTTATAGGACGGCAATAAGGCCAGCGATGTTGTATGGCACAGAATGTTGGGCGGTGAAGCATCAACACGTACACAAAATGGGTGTGGCGGAGACGAGGATGCTTCGTGGGATGTGTGAGCACACAAGAAATGATAAGATTGGAAATGAGGATATTCGAGGTAAAGTAGGAGTGGCCGAAATTGAAGGAAAGATGAGAGAAAATCGGTTCCGGTGATTTGGACATGTGCAAAGAAGGCCTACTGACGCTCCGGTTCGAAGATGTGACTACGGGACAGAGGTTCAGGGCCAAAGGGGTAGAG